GAGAGAGGAGAAAGACAGAGACAGAGAAAGAGGAGAGAGATGAGAGACACAGAGGTGAGAAAGAGATGAAAGAGATTAAAAAAGAGAGATGAGAGGGAAAAAAGAGAAAGGAGTAAAAATTAAAATAAATTCAAAATAAAATGCTCCAAATTATGAAAAGTCAGCTTTAAAAATAAAATGCATGAGCTGAAAGTGAAGTTTATGGGCATCCCTCCACTTTGGGTATTACATGCCAAATTTGCAGATAGTTTTCATTTATGACCATCACTGGACATGGAATTTTGGTCGTAAGCCAGCCAGGTGGAAGGCGTTAAATAGGTCCCTAAGTAAGCCGACTTGTTTTTACAACTGTTTTTAAGATGGTCGTCAAGGAAGCCATTACGGTCATTAAGTGAATCACATGATTTTTAAGCAAATCCAGCATATCCAATGGGTGGGTTTTTTGTTTTTTTCTGTTTTCTGGAAAACACCAAAAAACATCTTAAATTATCGTAAGTGTGAGAGCCAGTTGGCAATCACCAGAAATGCGGTCACAGGATGAAGACCGAACATTATTTTACAAAGGTCAGAAGTGATTTTACAGGCCATTGAGCACCCTTTCATGAGTCCCTCCATCCTAACTGCGAACCGTCCTTCAAGCGAACCGTCGTTAAGCGAAGCGCTACATGTCAATGCTCCCTCCCAAAGAAAGTGACAAAACCCAGCAGCTGATAAATGAATGTTATTTTGGAGGGAAGTGTAGGAGTGCGATCGTTCCTCAACCGGCATTGAGATTCGATCGTACATTTGCAAGCGGTGTTTTAAAAAAAAAAAGTTTGTTAAAAGTTGGTGATTTGCAAGTCTGAAGCTCAGCCAGCTACTTCATCATCCTCACCGTGACACCCACAGCTCAAGGAAAAAAATAATTTATTTTCCCTAGTGACAGGAGTCGGCAACCTGCGGCTCTAGAGCCACATGTGGCTCTTTCATCCCACTGCTGCGGCTCCATTGCTCAAAATGTCACAACCGCCAATTTGCAACACCCCTCCAGCACACAATTTATGGAGCTTTTCACCCCACCTCCCCACCACCATCCCACCCACCCCTGTAGGTTTTCTGGCTCCTGGTGTTTTCTTTTATTTGGGAAATGGATTCAAATGGCTCTTTGAGTGTTTAAGGTTGCTGACCCCTGCTGTCATGCCCCTGTCAAGAGTCTGAATCTGAGGAAGAAGTCAGACAGCTGACAGGGAGTGGAAGTGTGGCTCCATTGGCCGTGGAGGAAACTGGGGAAGGGCAAAGTCCAGCTGGGCAGAGCAGGGGAGAGGTAGAACAAGGGAGAGGGAATTCAGAGGAGCTCTAACCAAGGAATCTCCCCCCACCCCACCCGCCCCAGGGAAAGATTTCTCTTTGGCACTTTGGGTCCCCAGTTCTGTTTTTAAGAAAAAGATGACTAGATCTGAAAAATGTCGCTTCTAAGTTAGGAAAAGCATTTGCAACAGGAATGTACGACATAGATCAACAGCAGTCATACATGAGCGGAGGAGCTGGGGGAGGAAAAATAGTAAAGTTGATTTGTTAGGCAAAAATAAACTAGATGGGAGAATATTTATAGCTCAGGGTTGCAATGCGGTTGTCCATAGTGGTCTCTGAGATCGGTTGTTTTCTTGCAGACGTTTCATTACCCAGCTAGGCAATATCATCAGTTCTACTAGAGAAGGGGGTTTACAAAGAGGACTGTGCGGTCCTTGCTGGCCCCTGAGCTTGGTGGTTTTCTTGCAGACGCTTCGTGATCTAACTAGGCCAGTGGTTCCCAAACTTTTTCAGTCCACCGTCCCCTTGGTGCTACGAACTCATCCTCGGTACCCCCCGCTCAGGGATGGGATTCAAATTTCTGTGGGTGTGGCCTAATTTGAGGGTGTGGCTTGCTGGTAACGTGACTGGATGGGCATGGCTTGCTGGTCACGTGGCTGGCTGGGCGTGGCTTTGTGGTCACATGACTGGGTAGGTGTGGTTTCGTGGGCATGTGACTGGGTGGGAGTGGCCAGGTGACTGGCAAACGAAATACAAGTGGTCCTCACTTAATGGCCGGTTGTTTAGCAAGTGTTCTAATTTATGACCTGTGAGCTACTTGACCTGTTTCTGGAGTTTTGACAGCCATGCACACACATACACACACACTCCCTTTTAACCCTGCTGGAGCAGGTCACTGGACTAGAATCGGCAAAGCATCTCTGATTAGATTCTAGTAGTGAATAGAATCTAATCAGAGATGCTTTGCCTATTCTTGATTTGTTTTATTTGTATCTCTTTATTTTATGTTGCTGTATTGCATTGACATGGGTGTCCCTTCTTGTGCACAGCCCAGAAGCTTTTGTGATTCTTTGCAGCAAATATTACTGACCTCCGGCTTTGCTCTACTTTTCAAACGCTCTGCCACTGCCACGTTCTCAGTGCCGGCCCCGCAGGTCCACCCCATTGAGCCCGCTTCACTGGAGGGACCTGCCCAAGAAAGTCCAAGCGGAGCAGTGCACCAAGTCAATGGGGTGAGCCTGAGAGAGGGAAAGAGAGAGAGAGAAAAGAGAAAGAGAGAAGGAAGAAAAGAAAGAGAAAAGGGAAAGAAAGAAAAAGGGACAAAGGGGGGGATGGAAGGAAAGGGACAGAAAGAAAAATAAATGAGGGAGGGAGGGAGGAGAAAGATAATGAGATATCTATTCTAGTCCAATCACCTGCTCCAGTAGGGTTAGAAGGGTCTGTGTGTGTGTGTGTGTGTGTGTGTTGTCCTAGTACTTTACCAATACATTTTGGTTTTGCCTTCTTCAGAATTGCCACTGTAATACATTAGGGAAAATTCATTTTTTAGGGTGGAGGTCTGGTCCAATGGATCCAGTTTAAAGCCTCAACAAAATGTGAGAGCTTCCTGATAGTCTTGACCATGTTTCGTCCACAAAACCTTTAACAGAAGCCAAAGATGTTTCAATGTGCTGGCAAAGATGCTGGCAAAGGTGTTTCAATGTGGAAAAGGGCCTCAGTCTAAACTAGGCCTCATTTCAATCTGATGCATCAGCTCTCTCTCTCTCTCTCTCTCTCTCTCTCTCTCACACACACACACACACACACACACACTCCCTCCCTCCCTCCCAGACTGGCTTTGCTCAACTTTCTTCATGTGCCTGTGGAGCTGGCGCCTCAAACATGGATGGATAGATGGATAGAGACAGAGGCAGAGACAGATAGGTAGGTAGGTAGATAGATATATTGATAGGTAGGTAGGTAGGCAGGCAAGCAGGCAGGAAGAGACAGACAGACCTTTTGGCTGGATGGATGGATGGATAGGTAGGTAGGTAGCTAGCTAGCTTGATGTATGTATGTACGGATGGATAGGTAGGTAGGTAGACAGACAGAAAGATCTTTTGGATGGATGGATGGATAGATTGGTAGATAGGTAGGAAGGCTTTGACCACGCGCCCAATATCCAGGATCCCTCTCAACCAAGCCCACCCCTCTTTGCAGTTTCCAAGTTCACAGGCTGCCCCTCCCACCAGGGATCAGCTTCCCAAGCACACACACACACACACACACACACACACACGGGGCACTCACGTCGTAGAGGGCGGTGCTGTTCCCTGCTTCCTAGAACCAGTACAGGGCAGGGTTGAGGAAGCCCAGGGCAGGCAGCAGTGTAGCGTTGGAAAAGCAGAGCAAAGCCGTGCCGACGCTGCTGTATTTGAAGCGCCGCCCCCGCAGGCACGTCGGGAAACATCCATTCCGGAGCCGGAGCCTCAATGGGTGAACCTGCAGGGCCAGCCGGCGCCTCGAATGCACCGCTGCCACCTCTTAGCGCCCCTCTGCCGGCCCCCTTAAGGCCGTTAAGAGGTGGCAGGGGGGGCACCGCGTAGAACGCAGCTGTGGCAGCACATAACATGCCACTGCTTCCGCATTGGAGGCGCCGGCTCCGGAGCGGTGCTAGTCAATGGGTGAACCTGCAAGGTCGGTACTTGAACACCCCCCTGCCACCTCTTAGCACCCCCCTGCCAGCCCCCTTGCCTCTTAGTGCCCCCCTAAGGCATCCCACTGCCCCCCCAGGGTGCGGTACGACCCACTTTGGGAACCACTAAACTAGGTAATATCATCAGTGCTGGAAGGGAAGGAGGTTTGAAGAAGAGGAGGAAGAGGACGGTGGTGGGGTACTTGGTGATCTGAGTTTGGTGGTTTTCTTGCAGACGTTTCATGATCCAACTAGGCCAGGG